CTATCAAATCGAGGACTTTGTCCACTTCTTAAATTGCTTGTCTCTACTACCTAGACCAGAATGTCTGGAACATAGCATGTGATCAATATTGTTTCAATGAACTAATGAGTTATTTTGTGGGGAGTTCAGTTTGCAAACAAACATATTTCATAAAATGGTTGACCAAAGTAAGAAATATGTTATGTTTAAATAACTCATGGTGACATTCGAGAGAGAGCAGTGTACCTCCAGAAATGTTTGTCAGCTTGTCCAAAGTCATAGAGACTGGAATTTACCACAAACTCCAGCCTCACACGTTCTCAAAATTCATGCTGTCATCTTGTTAGCAGGCCAGGAAGGACCCAATTCTCAGTAGAAGGCTCAAATTGGCAAAACTCATGAGGCTGAATTCCAAACTAATAATACAGATTCAGAAATAAAACTGTCACTGATAGCCACTTCTCTACCTTTTCATATGATTGAAGCAGCCAAATTGTAATAAAAATTTTGCTTGCCAAGCATGAAACTAGAACATTAATTAAATGTTTAATGCCATCCAGCTAAGAGTTGACTTTTTAAATAAACTGGTATATTTTTAATTACATGTTTCTGTCCATATTCAAAATAGGACAAAATTTTGTGGATTTTTGTTTTACTTTTTGCTTTGTAATGTTAGTAGCTCTGATTGCCCATGTCTCTTGTAAATATAATAGTCTGATATTTCTAAGACATAAAACATTTCCTGGAACTGTTTCATGTTTTTAAAAAACAATCCTGTATTTTTTATCATCAGTTCAATTATTTGCTGATAATTTATTTTAGTATTATTAACTAATTATTGGGTCATTTTTCATGTTGGGTACTGGAAATTTCGTGGCAAATTAGACAAGGGTCTTCATCTTATGTATCTTACAGTGTGGCCTGGAAAACAGTTAACAGGCAACTGTAGCACAATAGTTTAAGTTTACCCAGCACGCTAGAAGGCCATATATGAAGGGCACCCAGCTTATTCTTGAGAGATTGGTGAAGTCTTCCCAGACTTGAAATATACTTTAAACCTCAATGAATATAGACTGTATGGACCAGATTAATAAAATTGCTTTAAGGAATTAGAATAGGAAGGGAAATGTGTTCTCATCAGGAGCGAAACCTAAGAGATTCAGGAATATGGCACATGAATGCAACTATACATGTTTCTCTGTGAGTGGAGCTTAAATCAATGTAAACAAATGTAGCAGGAAGACATGAATGCTATTGGGAAATTTTAAACAACAAAGAATCATAATAAAATGTGTACTGTAGAAAGATATTATTGACTAGAATGTGGATAATTCACTGGGAGGCTGGAGGAAGAGACAAGGAAATCCTAAAGTCAAAGTCACCAGTTAGGAGGTTTTTATACTAATTTGTGTGAGAAATAATTCTGGTCTAAATAAAAGTAATTACAGATTGCACAAAAATAAAAAGACAGATGTCAGATATATGAAAGAGGATGTTTTATAAGATTTGATTATCAACCGTGTGTGAGGTAAGAGGAAGATTAAGCACCCCTGAGAATAAATGCCAGGGTCCAGTTTGCACCCTGAGTGGGTAGTGTCATTAAGTGGGAAATGTATGCCGGGAAGGTTTTGGGTAAAGATGATGAATGCGCCATTGATATGACTAATTCAGTGGTCAATTCAATATGCTTTTCACATGTTGGTTGACATGAACTTGGAACCCAAGAAAGAGACTTGAAATAAGCTCTAAGAATCATCTGCATATCGACTGAATTTGAGTGTTGAAGTAATTTTTCAGGAAACGAATTTAAGGGAAAGATAAAGAAGGATAAACTGAGAAGGATTTGGGGATGCAATAGTCAGAGGTGTAATAGGAAACTCTGGAGCTTAGCTGCCATTGAAGAGAATTGCAGGCAATTCTCTACCATGCCTGCTGTTGTAGAGAGATGAAATAACATATGGACTGGAAAAAAATGTTCACTAAGTATAACATTAAATCAGTTTGGCAACAATAATTTAAGTCAAGTGTTGAATAGAAACCACGTTTTTGTCTGTTGGGAAGTCAATGAGATAAAGGGGATTAAGAAACTAAGTGTGGAAAACGTAATCAAAGATTTTATATTTGTAGGGAGAAAAGATATGTCAGTAGCTAGAGGAATATTGGAAGTTAAGATTTTAAAAAATGATTTCTTGTAAGAAGATTAAAATATTTTAATACTATCAACATGTAAAACAAAAAAACTTTGCTTTTCAGAATTGTTTGTAATGCCTCATTTTGTCTGCAGGTGTTAACCAGATGCATAAAGTACAGTCGGATGTGAGAAAAAAAGGAGTTCAGGAAAAATTTCAAGAGAGAATATGGGAGAATGGGGAAGATAAAGGAAAGAAGAAGGAAAAGAAGGAAGGAAAAAAAAGAGGGAAATTATTTCCTTTACAGTCATAAAGGAAATAATTTTAGCAAACATCACATTTAAGGGGATCAAAGGGAGCTAAACCTAAACAGACAACACACAAATAAACGATCAGACAGTAGGAACTAGGAGATACGGCATCCTACAGTCCCATGTGGACGAGTATTTGAAAAAGGAGGGGTCAGTAATATCAGACGCTGCCAAGTGGGAAGTCCAGATGGGACTCATGATATTTCCTTATGCAATAACTTACATAAGGAGAACAGAAAGAGAAATAGGCTATAACTAGAGAGTAAGAGCGAATCTAAAGAAAGATTGCTAAAACTCATTTAAATCCAACTCAAATGTGATTTACTCCGAGAAAGTTTATCTGAAAAATCCATTAGGAACATATTTCCATTCCCTCAACATTCCTATAGTGCAACTACCATACACACAAGCAATTTCACCTCTTGGAATTTAGTCCAAAGAAGTAAAGACTCGTGTACATTTTTAAAAACTATACATAAATGTTTATTGTAGATTTATTTGTAATAACTAAAAAAACAAAAATAACTCCATGTTTCCTTCAATGGCAGAAAGGTTAGACAAATGGTAGTATATTCGTATCATGGAATATAATACAGCAACAAAAAGAAACACACCACTGATACATGCCTCAGCCTGAATCAATCTCCAGAGAATCATGCTGCGTGGAAAACAGAAACATCTCAAACAACATATACTGTATGATTTAATTTATGTAACATTCGTGAATTGACAAAATTATAGCAATGGAGACCAGATTAGTGGTTCCTTGGGGTTAAAAGGAGTTACATGTGGGGAGATGTAATGTGATTATAAAAGGGCAACATGAATTATACTCATAATTTTCTGTATCTTGATTATATTAATTAATGTCACTATCTGGCTGTGATATTTCGCTGCAGTTGAAAGTTGTTACATTGGTGAAAACTGTCTAAAGAGTACATGGGGTCTCTCTTGTAATTTCCTACGAGTTCACGTAAATCTATAATTTTCTCTAAATAAAAAAGCCTTTTAAAAGTTAATTTAAAAGGCTTAAAAATAAGCATACTGTTAAAAAAATAGTTGAAAGAGCCCCAGTTTTGAAGTCACATTGCCTTGGGGTTGAATCCAAAGTCTGCCACTTTTTTAGTTATGTAAATGTCATCTTGGTGAGCCTTAAATAAAAATTATCAAGATTACCATCATCATCACAACCACCATTACTAAAATCCTTAGGGAGTTCTTAATATGTCCTATTTACTGTTCAAAACACTTTGTGCATTTTAACACATTTAATTCTCTCAACAGCCCTATGAGGTAGGGATCATTATTATCTTAATTTCGAATATTGAAAAAACTAAGATACAGAAAGAAAAGGTAATAATGCTTAGGGCCAAATAGTAACTAAATGAACATGAATTTGAGCCCAAGCAGTGTTACGTAAGACTTGATACCTGCCCCTAACATTTATGGGGCAAGACAAAAAGTGAAAAAGAGGCCCCATACTGTATGTGTAACTGTTTAAAATATATATATTACAAATATACTTTGTAAGCCACTTGGAAGATTATGTTTGAATTTAAAATGTTCAGACACTTAACAGTTCTACTCTATAAACATCACTTACCATGTTTTCCTTTCCACCCATTATTTGGTTTCTGTGAGCAGCTCTTTGCACATTTGAGTACACACTCCAGGCTGCAAATTAAAACCTTGTTCATACTCAGGCCTGAGGTATGAATACCAGTGAGTCTGTGTGTTTTTGTTTTTGGTAGATGGACATGGAAAAAACACTGTGCAAATGCTGGAAGCACAGAGCTTTTAGTCAGGGAATCCCAAGATCCTGAATACCAGAGTCCTGGTGTGGAAGTAGGTAGGATTCGTTCCAACTGTAATGGCTTCTTGACACTGTGGAATCGCCCTTCACACTCTGGGAGGGGAATGGATAAAAGAGACACAGAGTCATCCGTGGCAGCGAAATTCCCTTTCTGATTTTGCCTGACACGCTGAAGAATGCGCTCATGGTAGAGGGCATGAAAAATAAAAACTAAGGCTCAGGGGCTGGCCGGGGAAAGGTGCCCATGTGGCCGCAAGAGGAAGAGGACGTGGAATGGGAGGTGGGAACATCTTCCAGAAGCCAAGATAATTTTCTCCGTTGAACAGAACGTTGCCCTTTTTTCTTTTAGGTTATCTGAGTTCATTGGGGTGGGTGCTTGTGTATATGTCCTAGGTATTCTTTTGACATTTCTCTTTAGATCAGGGAAAATGTTAAGCTATATAAATCTGGGGTGGGGGGGTTGTTCAAAAAAAAAAGACACAAAGTGACGTCCATTGTAAAGGGTCCCTCTTACCCTTAGGCCTAAAGTCAAACTTAAGCCTGAGTGAGACACTGGCCTTATTTCAACGGGAATAATGCTTGCCTTTTATAGTTGTGAAAACTACATGAGGTCTCTCACGTATATTGTGGAAGACGTGTGCTACGGTGCTACATTACAGGGAATATGTAGCTTTTCTGTTAATATTTGCAATTATGCTTCATTGTCAATCAGTAAATGTTTCCAACATTAATATTATTTTATAGTCGTATCATTTATTTTCTTGATAGATGGACTGGAGGCTTTTACCAGGTTTCTTAAAACTGAATTTAGTGAAGAAAATATTGAATTTTGGATAGCTTGTGAAGATTTCAAGAAAAGCAAGGAACCTCAACAAATTCACCTTAAAGCAAAAGCAATATATGAGAAATTTATACAGACTGATGCTCCACAAGAGGTACAGTAAAGATAACTGTAAAATGCATAACTGCTTTCAAAACTTTTAAGATAATAATTTTATTTTTAAATATGTGAACTATATTTTCCCAACTTATTTTTATTTTATGATTGACATTTAATAATTATACATGTTAATGGGATACAGTGTGATGTTTTGATACATGTATGCATTGAATAATGATAAAATCAGAGTTAGCATATTCATCAAATTAAAGATTTATCATTTCTTTGTGGTGATAATATTCAATATCTTCTTTTCTAGCTATCTTGAAATATACCATGTATTATTATTTGCTGTACTCACCCTACTACATAATATAACACTAGAACTTATTCTTCCTATCTATCTGTGTGCCTGTTGATCAATCCTTTCCCATTCTCCCATCCTTCCTACCTTACCTAGCCCTTGCTAACCACTATTCTGCTCTCTACTTGTATGTGAGCTGCTTTATTAGATTCCACATCCAAGTCACATCATGTAGTATTTACCTTTGTGAGCCTGGCTTATTTCACTTAATATAATGTCCTCCAGGTTCATTCATGTTGTCATAGATGACAGAGTTTCATTTTTATATATCTCATGAATATTCCATATATACCACATTTTCTTTATACATGTATCCTTTGATAGATATTTAGGTTGATTTCATCTCTTGGATATTGTGAATAGTGCTAGAATAAACATGAGAATGTAGATATTTCTTTAACTTGCTGATTTCAATTCCTTTAGATATATACCTATAAGTAGAATGGCTGGATCATGTGGTAGTTTCATTTTTCATTTTGAGGAGCTCTCATGCTATTTTCTGTCATGGCTGGACTAATTTACACGCCCACCAACAGTGCATGCGTTTCCCTTTCCCCACATCCTCACCAACATTTGTTATTTTTTGTCTTTTTCAATAGCCATTCTAACTGCAGTGAGTTGATATCTCATTACGGTTTCTACTTGCATATTCCTGATGGGTAGTGGTGTTGAGCATTTTGTCTAAAATGGCATTTTATGTCTTTTTTTTAAGAAATGTCTATTCAGAGCTAAACTTTTGAGATAATCTGCTTTTATCAAATTTGTACCCCCATATATTCTACCCGAATGTTCATGATGTTGCCTGAGCAAAGATAATTATTCATATAGAGTTATCCATACAAATGGAATACATTGTGAGATATTATCATAGAAGGAAAAGGATGATTAAAGTCACTCCTCAGAGTTATTTTCAATCTGGACTAAAAGTGAATAGAATTAATTGCAACATTTAGATTCATTCACTTCTTCCTATTAATCACTTTAGCACAAGCAACCTCTTATAGAAACTAAAGTTTTCTGTAAGTGATGAAATCAAGAGAAATCAAGAAGTTTGCATCATGTCACATTTTAATTTTGGCTCATCTATTTATACAGAGTTTTGTTTGCTTCAGGGCTACTTTAAAGACAAGTTTAAAGAAAACTTTTATAATAGAGAGATGAAGCAAACCTAACTAGGCAAGTTTTCAAGTGGAAAACAATTGAGATTTCTTTTCCTCCAAACTCAGTGTGAAGTAATTGTGATACAATTGCTAAAATGGTTATAAGACTAGCTAATATGACTTGACTGCCCTCAAATATTATTTAAATAAGACTTCTATGTTTCTATTATATGTTTTATAAATAGCGCTTCTCCCAAAACCAATGTTTTACATAGATTTTTTTTTTAAAGGCAGCCAGTTGCACTGTGTTATGAGCAAGAGGAAAGAAAGCCCTACCTGAAAACCTACCACCATTAGAACCAGATACATATGTAGTGCTATAATCCACGGCATTAAAGAATTTTATATCTTTAAAACACATTCATACTGCAGCACATGTTTGCTTGGAAGAAAGCATCATAACATAATGAAATGAGCACTGGAATCAATAGAAGCCTCATATTAAAATCTGAAATATGCCCGTTCTTATTCTTTCTCATGATTCAAATAATTTAACCTCTGTGAGGTTTAGTTACCTTATTTGAAAGTAAGTTAAGCTTTAATTATTTCTATGATCCTTAGCATTGCAATATTCCATTATTCTAAATTAGTGGAGACTAAGAAGGACCAGGAATACCAGGAGAGATGACCCAGATGAAATGCTGGTCCAGAACAGAGGAAAATACACAAGCATCCACAGTAGGCCATTCTTGCACTGCCATAAACACCAGTGTTCACAACAGCAATGTTCACAATAACCACAATGTGGAAAAACTCAATTGTCTCAACTGTCCCAAATGAATGGATAAGCAAAACGAGGCATACCCGTAGAATGGAATATCCACCACAGAGAGAATGAAGTTTTTGATATATGCTAGTAAAAATAGAAACACCTGAGACTAGGTGATTTGTAAGAAAAGAACTTTAACTAGCTCAGCATCTGCTTCTGAGAAGATCTCAGGAAGCTTCCAATCATGGCTAACACAGAGAGGGAGCAGTTACCTCACATGTCAGGAGCAGGAACAAGAGAGAGAGTGAGGTGCCACACACCTTTAAACAGTCAGACCTTGCCAGAAGCCACTCACCATAGCAAGGACAGCACTAAGGGGATGGTGCTAAACCATTCACGAGAAATCCACCCCCATCTCCAGTAACTTCCCACCAGGCTTCACCTCCAGTGCTGGGGGTACAACTCAACATCGGATTTGGGCGGCGTGTGCACATCCAAATTATATCAGCTTCCAAACCCACTATGCCCACTCCAACATTGCATTAGTCCTGTGCTGTTTCTCAAAGTTTTTTACATAAGCATATTAACTATAATTATACTTTTTTTGTCCTGTTTATCCAGGTTAACCTTGATTTTCACACCAAAGATGTCATTACAAAGAGCATCACTCAACCCACCCCTCACTGTTTTGATGCTGCACAAAGCAGAGTGTACCAGCTCATGGAACAAGACAGTTATACACGTTTTTTGAAATCTGACATCTATTTAGACTTAATTGAAGGAAGACCTAAGAGACCAACAAATCTTAGGAGACGATCACGCTCATTTACCTGCAATGAATTCCAAGATGTAAAATCAGATGTTGCCATTTGGTTGTAAAGAAAATTGATTTTGCTCATTTTTATGATAAACTTGGACATCTGCTTCTAAGACATAGCATGTTTAAGAATTGGTCCCATCTTTTAAACTGAGATATATCATGTGAAATGATCTTAAAATGTAAAAATAAAACTTTTTGCTAACAAAATACATACTAGATCTGCCAATATAGCTGGTAAAATCCTCTGCTTGAT